ACCTTTTGTTTCTTCTTTCGTTATCGTTAATGTTGAAATAATCTTTGTTTCACTCACATTCTTCTCCTAATGTGACAACTCAAGTAAAACTCGAGGTTACAAAAATTCCGTCATATGATTTTTTTTATTACAATTCGGTTCAACAACGTCTCGTCATTATACTGTTACTCTTTAATTCTCGTTTCCATTGTGTGTAATATTTCCCAGGTGTTGGTTGCTGTCAGACATTGACCTTTGATGTTTAATGCTGAAAACTGCAAGTGATAGATGTTTTAGTCAAGTAATTTGTAAACACGTCTTATTACTGAAACTCGTCTCTGTAAACACACACACACACACACACGCACATCTCTACATGGTATTGATTGCCTCGCTGTTCTCATAATAATGTTGTCGGCCTTGAAATAGGAATCTGGATACTCCGTTACAAGGTTTTATTTCCTGTATTTTATAAACTGTTGCGTGTCCGTGGGAGGGTGGTGTGAGGGTGGTGGTGTGAGGGTGGCGGTGTGAGGGTGGCGGCGTGAGGGTGGTGTCAGGGCGGTGTGAGGTTAGTTAGAAGCCAAAAAAAAAAAATTAATCGCTGCATAGACTAATTTTTTCCATAGTTATGAACTTATGACGGAAATCAATTGAGATATTTGCCTTGACACAGAGAGCATCACACCACCTGACGTAAGACTATCGGTAAAACGTCTTCAGGAAACACTAATATTATAACAATTAGAAAAATATTACCCCCCCAAAACACAACTAACAATGTCATCCAAAAAGTATACCCTGACTATATGTTAAAATAAAGGGTGTTTATTTTTTGATGACTCTGTATACTACTTTCCTTTTATCTTATCTGTAACAACATGACCTCTAAGGGTGTGGGGGCGGGCGGTAGAGAGTATGTGGGAGGGGAAGCAGTGTGTGGGGGCGGGCGGTAGAGAGTGTGTGGGAGGGGAAGCAGTGTGTGGGGGTAGGGTAGAGGGTGTGTGTGTGTGTTAAAATGATCCTAAACCTACAGTCACTACACCGAGACTCCCAAGACAGTTAATAATAATGGTGGGAGCGTAGACAAGCATCCTCACACGAGTCGAGGCGGAAGTGACGACAATCTCTGGTAGTAACGAAGACTGACTGCTGCTAGATGTCGCCTTCACGCTGTGTTGACATTTTACGATAACGCTATTACCTTTAAAGTTGAAGTCATTAAACGTGGCATTTCACATTAAAATTAAGGATAGAAAAATGTGAAAAAAATAGTATCTTACGAAAGTTCTGAATGATGACAGATGATTTTGTGTTTTTTAGATAGAAGAGGCTTAATAGCAAGGGAATATTCTGTAATTATCTATTTTTCCTTGTGGGAGAAATAATTTATGCTATTAGTGAAGACGTTTGGCTATTTGGTGAGGCTATTTGGTTAGTTAATAATGATATTTGGCTAATTAATAAAAATGTTTGGCTACCTGAGTCTGTGAATTATGCGTTTGTAAATGTTGTTTGAATTCCAGGATGAAAAATATTTTTTATACTAGAACTACTTCACTACTACCACTACTACCACTACTACTACTACCACTACTACCACTACTACTACTAAAATACCCCAGCTTCATAATGGGTACCTAACTTTACAGATGAGGAAGTGATAGGTGGTCGATTACAGTGTCCCACCGAGGGTTTGGTTAAGTGTTGCATCTACGCTTCCTTTAACGGCCCGAGAGGGATATGGAACCCTTAAATTTTGCTTCTCAATAATAATAATAATAATAATAATAATAATAATAATAAGATAGTAATGATAAAATAATAATATATCAGTAATAACGATAATAATACATTACGAATATCAAACGAGCAGAATTCACAAAGTTATGTATTGAATAATATAAACTAGAGCCTTTTACCTATATAAATTAATTTATTTATTAATTTACTCAAAAATACTTCACTCGAGAACATATCCTGTATAAAGATTCATTAAAACAAAACAATTCTTATACAAAATAACAAAATTGAATCATGGTTTTGTTTACTTATTTGTATAATTTGGTTTACGTTGTTTATCTCTACTCCATAATGTGTTGGTGCTTAATGCAATACTGGAAGGAAAATGAAGAGACTGTAGTGTTGAACGGGAACACACTGAAGGGGTTTCACGATGGGGGCTCTGACGTGATCACAAGTGCGGGTTATGAGAGAAAACGGATGCTTAAAGGAGGAACTCTGTTATTCGTCATATACTGGGAGAAATAATAATAATAATAATAATAATAATAATAATATTATTCGCCGAGTTACATGGGTATTTAAGCTTACTATTTAAAGTAAGCGAGTTAGGTTTAGCCCGTCACCCTACAGGCATTTGTAAAATATATATGTGGAATTTGTGGCGTTCGTGAAAATTAAATCTTTTTAGTCTATTAACTTTTAATTATGATAAAGAGTAAACAACAGCCGTTTCAATTTCCATATTATATCCTAAAATCACTCTTGTTCCTGCCGAAATAACCACTTATTGTCTTTCTGTCTCCTTGTATAAACAGATCACAGATAGAGTTCGGTCAACTCGATGACATGCAGGCGCTATGCTGCTACTGTGATGAAGAAGTTTGCTCTCGTGCTGTAGAGGTTGATGATGATAATACAAATTTTCAAATAAATTATAATACCAGATTAAATGATGCCTTTATAAACTTGGAGACAGCCGGAAGACTTCCCCGCTGAGTAACAACATCGCTTGGTTGGCGAACTTCTTGCTAAGACTGTCCACAAGTAGCGTCATCTACTTTTCTTATGTCACGCTGTGTTATTACAATTTACGATCTGTTACTATTCTCTTTAATCATTTCAACGCAGCTACAGGATTTTTTTTTTTTTGCGTTTGTTTTCATAAAATTCACAGCGAGCGACTGACCGGTAGTGGTTTCAAGAACAGGAGTACTTATTACCCATCAGTGGTTAACATTTTCCCAAAAAACGCCCTGGAATATTTTAACTAATCAGCAGTGTGTGAACGAAAGGTGGATAAAGAGAAACAATGGAAGAGACGTATGTTTTGTGTGATGGCTTTAATGTGGTGATGGACATTGTCTAGGCGTGGCGGTGTGGCAGACGCTAAGGTGAGGTCAACAGTAAGGTAAGCTGATGTAATGGTTTTAGAACAAAAGCCCAACAAATCCTTAGTTTTTAGGAATTTTTCTTTATTTTGATGTGATTTTTGCAGTGTGAAAATAATATCATTGATCTAAAGTGGCAAATTTGTGAGGTGTAGTTTGGACTGTACAAACCATTTCTTGTTTTTAACGATGTATTTAACACTTGAAGGAGGTATTCGTCAGATAACAAACTCAGACCAGGAGGGCCATTGTGAGGGTCCGACTAATTACCCAAATGTAGCCAAATGTAGCCGGAATGAAGTCAAATAATGGTCCTAGATGAATAAATCGGACTGCCAATCACTTCTCGACTAGTATTTGGTGTCAGAAAGTCACAAAAAATTGGAAAACTTACTTTAATCTGAGTTAATAGATCACGTGCAAGTACCTAACTAACCTAACCTAACAACACAACTCAGATTAAATTAAGTTTACCAATTTTTTGTTTCACAATAATAATCGAGAAGTGATTCACAGCCCGAATTACGCTTGTACGACCATCATTTGACTTCATTGCGCAACTGACTGGGTAATTAGTCGGACCGATCAGTGTTATGTTTTGCTTAGAGTGAATACAATGCTTTACACTTGGGTCGTCTTGGTCGTCCTCTCGTTGACAATATATTAAAAGAAAGAAACCTGACCTGAACCGACGTACTGAACCCAATTTAAAATGTAATAAAACAACAATCTTGGGAAGGTAGGTTAGGAAGGATTGATTGGGTTATATTATCTACAATAAATCATTTTCGTCGCTGTTAGAGACAAGATTACACTAGGTATGAAACCCTTCTCGGTCCAATATCCCTGAACTAAAAATACGAAAATTATTATTACTTTATTATTATTAGTTTTATTAATATATTTATGATATGAGCTGCTGTTGGGAATCAAAACAAGGGAAAAACCAAAAGAGGTGGTTCCTGCCAACGAGTCTGACGTCTAAAGTAATCTTTTAAGTTCGCCGACGTGGACCATTTCTTTGTTTCAGGTAAATTAATTTTAGTTTTTCCGTTGTTTATTCCTCTGCATGTATTATCTATCCAGTAAAATAAATAATTTAGTCAAAATCCCAAGAAGACAAACCGTAGTTGAGGTGGTGACCCCATAACACATATTAACCATTTATTGAAAGTTTAATAGAGTTCTACCCCAACACAACACTTCACTCACATTACCATTAATCAGGAAACATACAAATGGTCTTTAAATGTGAGTGTGTGATGTTATTACTCAAACTGTTTTAAAATGGTGCAATCGTAAACAAACACTGGTTGACAAATGGTTGTTTTCGGTAAACATTTTCCACTTTTTAATCCCGCCTGTCGCACACTCTGGACAACAGTCAGTATTAATAACAGTTTTTACTAATATTGTTTATATTTACGACAAATGGGTTGATATCCTGTACATTTCGACTATTTTGAATAATTACGTGGGTATCTGACGTTGCAGCCGGAGGATATCGACATAACATTGAGCATAATAAACACACACACACACACACACACACATATTAAATTATAATGTCAAGCTTAAAACTGTACATAATTAAATAAAATAATCGTGCTATATATCGATTTATCTGTAAGACAATAGGAGAAATAATGTACTTGTAGTTATTTTGGAATTATATGATCTTTTGTATTTACTAAGCAAAACTTTATTATGTGGACTAAACAAGTTAACCCCGTTTATCATTCTGGTTGTCAAATATTGAAATTATTCGCCATTTACACGCAATGATGTGTACTGTGTATATCTTGACGCACATAGGTCATATACGCACACATACACATACATACACAGTACTTCCATATAACACGGGTTGTTGTTGTTATAATGTTATTACTCTGTTGTAACACGGGGGAAGGTACTCTGTTGTAACAGGGGAGGTACTCTGTTGTAACACGGGGGAAGGTACTCTGTTGTAACACGGGGAAGGTAGTCTGTTGTAACACGGGGGAGGTACTCTGTTGTAACACAGGGGAGGTACTCTGTTGTAACACGGGGAAGGTAGTCTGTTGTAACACGGGGAGTACTCTGTTGTAACACGGGGGAGGTACTCTGTTGTAACACAGGGGGAGGTACTCTGTTGTAACACAGGGGGAGGTACTCTGTTGTAACACGGGGAGGTACTCTGTTGTAACACGGGGGAGGTACTCTGTTGTAACACGGGGGAGGTACTCTGTTGTAACACGGGGGAGGTACTCTGTTGTAACACGGGGAGGTACTCTGTTGTCTGGGGAGGTACTCTGTTGTAACACAGGAGGTACTCTGTTGTAACACAGAGGGAGGTACTCTGTTGTTGTAACACGGGGAGTACTCTGTTGTTGTAACACGGGGAGGTACTCTGTTGTAACACGGGGGAGGTACTCTGTTGTAACACGGGGGAGTGACTCTGTTGTAACACGGGGAGTACTGTTGTAACACGGGGAAGGTACTCTGTTGTAACACGGGGGAGGTACTCTGTTGTAACACGGGGAGGTATTTGTGTGAACACGGGAGGTACTCTGTTGAACACGAGTACCTGTTTCGGGGAGGTACTTGTTGTAACACGGGGGAGGTACTTGTTGTAACACGGGGGAGGTACTTGTTAACACGGGGGAGGTACTTGTTGTAACACGGGGGGAGGTACTTGTTGTAACACGGGGGAGGTATTCTGAGGTACTTGTTGTAACACGGGGAAGGTACTTGTTGTAACACGGGGAGGTACTTTGTTGTAAACGGGGAGGTACTGTTGTAACACGGGGAAGTACTGGTAACACGGGGAGGTACTTGTTGTAACACGGGGGAGTACTCTGTTGTAACACGGGGAGGTACTCTGTAACACGGAGTACTCTGTTGTAAAGGGGAGGTACTGTTGTAACACGGGGGAGGTACTCTGTTGTAACACGGGGGAGGTACTGGTGGTTGACAGAGGTTGTGAACAGGGAGTACTTGTTGTAACACGGAGTATGTTTAACGGGAGGTACTTGTTGTAACACGAGGTCTTGTTGTAACACGGGGAGGTACTTGTTGTAACAGGGGAGGTACTCTGTTGTAACACGGGGAGGTTACCTGTTGTAACACGGGGAGGTACTTGTTGTAACACAGGGGGAAGGTACTCTGTTGTAACACGGGGAGGTACTTGTTGTAACACGGGGAAGGTACTCTGTTGTATCACGGGGAGTACTCTGTTGTAACACGGGGGAGGTACTCTGTTGTAACACGGTGGGGAGGTACTGTTGTAACACGGGGAGGTACTCTGTTGTAACACGGGGGGGTACTCTGTTGTAACACGGGGGAGGTACTGTTGTATCACGGGGAGGTATCTGTTGTAACACGGGGAGGTACTTGTTGTAACACGGGGAGGTACTTGTTGTATCACGGGGAGGTACTTGTAGGACTTGTTGTAACACGGGGAGGTACTCTGTTGTAACACGGGGAGGTACTTGTTGTAACACGGGGAGGTACTTGTTGTAACACGGGGTACTCTGTTGTAACACGGGGGAGGTACTCTGTTGTAACACGGGGAGGTACTCTGTTGTAACACGGGGAGGTACTTTGTTGTAACACGGGGAGGTACTTTGTTGTAACACGGGGGAAGGTACAGTTTTATGAGTGAATGGTGTATTATATATCAACTCGTGTCATGTGTGTGTTTGCAATTACCATACAATTTCTCCACTCAGTTTTTTCCCATTAACCATTTTTCTAATTTTCTTAACCTTGATTTAATATTTGTGGAATAATTTTCGTCTGATTAATACCATTGGTGAGAATATTGTTTATGACGCGACGACACGAATAAAATACACACAATACCTGAATATTGGTTGGTTTTATTTGTCAATTGACCAGTAAGATTAGCAGCAATTTGCATAATGGTCAATATTCTTCTGTTTACAAAATGACCGATTATTTGTGGTATTATTGCAAAACGACCGGATTTATGGCCTGTTTACAAATTGATCGGTATTATTATTATTATTATTATTATAACTCTAGTCGTAATGCTAAATGATGTTAACATAGAGAAATTTCGTGTGTTATTGGTTCGTCGTGCTTAGGATTGTTCAATGAATCAAATTGTTGGTCTCCCACTCATTTCGTCTTCCCTACTCTCCTCTGCCCATTGCTCTCCGTTCCTCGCTTTCATCCCATTATCTCTCTCTTCTTTTATCTATATGTCTCTATCCCTATATTCTACACGTTATCATTTTCAGTGTGTGTGTGTGTGTGTTCGCGTGTTGTTGTGAATTTAAATGTTTGTGTTAATACGCTTGTAAGGTGATTCAGTCATGCAACGTTTGTGCGCGTACATGCAATGCGTGTACATTTGACCTTAAAAGAATGTGTATGTCAATAGTGATAGAACAAAAACGGTGAAAGCAAACTGGATTTTAGTACCTGTAGGTTGATGTCGACACCTGGTTATTGATGACATGCGCTGAAAAAGAACTGTTTTAGGAGCGTATATAAATTACTTCACCATTTCCATTCCGAGATGTATGTTCATTCTTGTTTAAACTCGTGTTATGAAAGTAATCAGTCATCATGGTACTTTTACACGAGTCACTCCTGGAAGTGACCGCGGCGGACTTGTCAAAGAAAACGGCTGTGTAGAAAATGGTGGAGGACATTTTAATGTTTTGTGGGTGGATCGTCCCTCGAGGGGCTCTGTAAACTGGTTGTCTTGTGGCAGATTCTCATTAAATTTTGATTTATATTAAGATCAGAGAATCCCTAAGATACGATATATATTGTTCAGGTTATAAAAATTCTCGTCAAGTTTTCCTCCATTGATCGATAATGAAGTCAGCTTTCCATAGAGTGAATGGGAGGTATAAGTGGTGAAATGATAAATGAAATACAGGTACACGCACAGGTAGAAAGATTCTACTGAATAAATTAGAATACACTTATAGTTAAAATCAGAGGAGGGAAGGTTTCGAAATCATAACAATGTACTACTGTAGAGCGACGTGTGGCTTGTAGTACATGTGTACCCTGGCATAAATATTTCAAGTGTTCACGTTCATATATCTCACTGATTTGTATTCATTTATTGGCCCAAATTGGAGGTTAGGCAGCTACCAAACAGGGAGGTACTGCCGCCTGGGAAGATATTGGAAGCATAATGTGTTGTCTAATGGTAGACCCTGCTGCTATATGGCATCACGAAATTGACCAAGTCCCAGGTTGCTGATCTGACTTTCTGCCTCATTTACACACATTGCAGGGTCTCAATTGTTTCTCTTACTTTGACAACACAACATACTTATATTTGTTTCTCACTTTTGATTTTTGGTTTCATTTTGTATTTTCTTTATTATTTTTATTATTATTATTATTATTATTATTATTATTATTATTATTATTATTATTATTATTATTATATTCATTATTATTATTATTATTATTATTTTGAATTTGTATTATTTATTATAAATTTTATTTTTATGAACAATTATTATTATTATTATTATTATTATTATTATTATTATTATTATTATTATTATTATACTATGCATTTCACTTCAGGCTGATGTGGGTCAGTGACCTGTGCCCGGGTGGGCTAATCCCCTAAAAGAAAAAGAAAAAAAGATTACATTAAAAATAATCTCACATACAAGCAACAAAAGGGTTAACAGGATGACCCTCCATAAATTGTCTTAACTTACGTGAATAAATAATGAGTTTTTTATCGCAGTAGCACGACACACTTGATGACGTCATTTGTTTACACGTTGAATAGGTTACTCGTGACGTGGTGGTTGTTGTGTAACTTCCAGCTGATCGGCTGCGTCACCACCTTCACTTTAATCTTACTTACCGTTATCCTCTTCACCACTGATCGGCTCGTTAGCATCTTGGGCGATCGGTCACGTCTCTGTTACGCACTGTTGGCAAGTACAGGGTGGTGCAGGTGTTGTACATGTGTTGTGGTACAGGTGTTGTACATATGTTGTGGTGCAGCTGTTGTACATGTGTTGTGGTGCAGGTGTTGTACATGTGTTGTGGTGCAGATGTTATGGTACACGTGTTGTGGTGCAGATGTTATGGTACACTTGTTGTGGTGCAGGTGTTGTACATGTGTTATGGTACAGGTGTTGTGGTGCAGATGTTATGATACACGTGTTGTGGTGCAGGTGTTGTAAATGTTTTGTGGTACAGGTGTTGTGTTGCAGATATTGTAGTACAGTAGTTGGTGAAAGTAATTCCAGGAAAGTAAAAGTCATTTAACTTGGTGGTCACCTGTCATGGAAAACCTCGCAGGGAATTGTCTTCACGTTTCTCTCCCTAATGAAGAAAACGTGTTCAAAATTTTCTTGGCCGAGTTTTGCCTGAGGGAGGATTATGTGTGTGTGTTAGTGGGTACAGACACCACCTTATACTTTACTTATATTATGGTAAGTATGATGATGATAATAGTAATAATAATAATCTTCTTCTTCTTCTTCTTCTTCTGCTTCTTCTTCTTCTGCTTCTTCTTGGGTCTCAGAAATTTTAGGAACCTGACCTCATTTCACCTGATGATAAAGCACCCAATGATAAAACCTAACCTGACCTAATCTTCATGAGCCGTATCATCACCATCACCGTTATCCCTCATTCCCTTCCTCCTTCTCCTCTTCCTCTTTCTCTCCTTCCCCTTTTTATCCCCCTGTTCCTCCTCCTTTTTCTCTTCTCCCCTTTCCTCCTCTTCTCTTCCTCCTCCCTCCTCTCTTCTCTTCTTCCCTACTCCTCTTCTCCTTCTTCTCCTCCTCTTCTTCCTCTATATATTTTTCATCAACTACTCTCTCTCTCTCTCTCTCTCTCTCTCTCATATCAAACAACTTAAACTCAAAATAAAAATTAATATACCAACGAGACCCAAAAATACCACAAACTACTAAAACAATTTACTAATATAAAAAAAATAATCCATCAATATTTATTACCCAATATCTACCAACTTTGAGTCGCTTGAAACTTTGGATAAGAAACTTTTATTTTTTGGGGAATTTGCCGCCGTCTGCCGCGATAATGACGGCAGAGTGGCAGACAATCCGGTTCACAAACTAGTGGTTTTTTTGACTCCCTAGTGACCTCGGTTCACACGGATGACCTTATATCACCTTGAGTCCCCCCCCCCCACCCTCCCCCGCTAATGTTCGCTATTTGGCTGAGAAGTTAGGTCATAGAAGAAGAGGTGGGGGTGGTGGTTAAGGGAGGTGGTGGTAGTAGTAGTATAGGAGTAATAATAGTAGTAGTACAGTATAATAATAGTGGGAGTAGTATTAGAATAGTAATAGCAGTAGAAATAATAGTAGTAACCCACCCCCTCCACACACCGAAAACACCAATATCGTCTTTATGTAAATGAAAACATAACAATATTTACATTCATATATTACAAGACAAATATACACAGGTACACAGACCAAACAACAGGTGACTGTTATAATTAAGGCAACACGTAATCACCTCGTTACCTGAGTCTTAACAGGAAGTGACGTAATGTGCTTGGGTTATTTTTTGTGTTTCGTAAAGTTGGGTTTTTTTGGGGTAAGTTATTTCAGTATTTTTTTTTTCTGGAGTTCAGTTAAAATTGATGGTTATTCTGTTTTAATACTTACACACACACACACACACACACACACACACACACACACACACATCACATGTAAGTTTGTATGTTTTCAACCACCGTCTGCAACTCTTATTAATAAACCGTTTATTATTATTATTATTATTATTATTATTATTACTTACACCTACCACCATGGCGTGTCTGTCAGGTGGTAATAGCCAGATAAGGCTTCATGTTCTGTGCTCAGGACGTCGCTTAACCTCGTGTGTGTGTGTCGCACCGCTTCCAATGTCACCAAGTCCTTAGCTGCATTTAAAATAAGCAGTGATGGCCGAGTGGTTAAGGCGTCTGACTAGAAATCAGATGGGATCATCTTCCCGCGTAGGTTCGAATCTACTCACTGCGAAAGGAGGATAAAAGTTTTAGGTAAAAAAAAAAAAACGATACATGTATTTATATGCCTGTAAACGTAAACAACAAGTAATATACAGGTACGAAATTATTTTTCTGGGTGTGATGTTACGCCCAGGTACAGTGGCTGGGTGTGTGATGTGACGCCCAGGTACAGTGGCCTACAGGTGTGTGATGTTACGCCAGAATACAATGGCCTGGGTGTGTGATGTTACGCCCAGGTACAGTGGCCTTTACAGGTGTGTGATGTACGCACGTGTTCATGTTATTAGTTAATCCCAGGAATGTGAACGAGTGCCGAGGAATGTGAACGAGTGCCAGGAATGAGCAAGTGCCAGGAATGTGAACGAGTGCCAGCATGAACGAACGAGTGCCAGTATGGTGAACGGGGTGCCAGTATGGTGAACGAGTGCCAGTATGGTGAACGAGTGCCAGTATGGTGAACGAGTGCCAGTATGGTGAACGAGTGCCAGTATGGTGAGAGTGAACATTAACCAGTGCCATATACTTGACACACACTAAAGAATTTATAAACGCGTTCTTGGCGTATGAATCGTTGTGTTGTGGCTTGGGTAAATGTCCTGGGTGGGGGGAGCTGTTGGTTCACTCTATTGTAAGTGAAGGGAAGGACTTGACGTGGTGGTTGGTGTAGTGTGTCTCAATTTAAAATGTGTACCTTAAGTGTAAAATGAACCAGTTTCTCGCAGTGAGTAGGATTCGAACCTACGCGGGAAGATCCCATCTGATTTCTAGTCAGACGCCTTAACCACTCGGCCATCACTGCCTGTATTAACGAAGTGTGTCAACAATAGTGAAATTAGTCGTGAGCCAGTGTGTGTGTGTGACCGGTTAAATAGCGTGGGCTGGGATGGCTTAAGGTTAGGTTAGTGGTAGTTTAGGTTACGTTAGTTGTAGGTTAGGTTACATTAATGGTTGGTTAGATTAGTGGTAGATTAAGTTAGCGTTAGGTTAAGTTAGTGGTAGATTAAGTTAGCTTTAAGTTAGGTTATCGTTAGGGTCTTGGATCAGGTGAAATAAGCTGAGGTGTCTAATCTCCAGGTGGTGTGTTCCCTGGAGATCAAAGACGCTGGCGGCATTACCGTCTCTCCAGCCTGAGTTGATTAGTGTTAATGATGAAGGTAATGAGACATAAACAAGGCGAGAGACATAAAGAGATGTTTCAGTGAGACATAAATCTAGTGAGATACAGAGTGAGTGAGAGATAAACTGTAATAAATGGAACATATTGGTGGTGTTTACTATGTGTTCTGGGTTGGGTTGGCTTAGGTGAGACAAGGTTGGGTTTAAGTGTTATCCACGCGTATACGGGAATGGTGAGCGTTTATTGGTCCTTTTCCATGGTACTGTGAGGGGATTGGTTTCAAGTCTTACCTCACTTTAACACAGCTTTACCTAACCTGACCTTACTTGACCTAATCTAAGCTTACGTAACCTAACCTCACCTGACCTAATCTAACCTAACTTAACCTAACCTAAACCGACCTAAACTAACCTAACTTAACCTAACCTGACGTAGCCTAACCTAACCTGACCTGACGTAACCTAACCTAACCTGACCTGACGTAACCTAACCTAACCTGACCTGACGTAACCTAACCTAACCTGACACACCACTACACTTCAATATTACCTTCCTGTGGACAAGAACCAATCAACGTACATTATAGCGAAGGAAAAAATAAAATGACCAATCACAGCACATTAAGAGTGAGGCAAGGACCAATAACCACACTTCTCTCCCGCATACACGTGGATTTTGTGATTCGTCGGACAGAACGGGACACAAACAACAACAAAATATTCTCTACACTTATTGGTATCAACACAAATATCAATACGGCAGAAAGGGGAAAAAAAATACACTCTTTCTGCACTATTACCCTGGCGCCTATCTGCTCTCCCTGCCCCAGTTATAGTCGGAGTTAAGACACGTTTTCTCGTTAATGATGAAACACAACACAATAACAGCATCGGGGGATTGCTCACTGATGTGCCTCCCGTAAAGCAAATTAGATGATAATGATATTTGAGTTTTATAATGAACATATTGCTGCACTAGAACCTAATATAATGTAAAGGGAAGGTTGGATATATCGTGGGATTATAGTGAAGATGTTAATTATTGGTATAACAGGTGTTCTCAGGTGATGATGGTGGCCCGAACTTGGTAATTGTGTTAAGGTGATCGAAAAATCCCTGTGCACCTTGGGTTACTGATGGTATAGGGATTACTTGTAGATTAATCGCCCCTGCATATTTCACCTCATGATTAATCACCCTAAAACTACCTAGGGAAGATAGATTAGGTTAACATCAGTGTCTTTAATGATCTGGGGTGCCTATTCTTCACCTGCTGTCGATATAGTTAATTATTTTATTCTCTTCCATTAAATATTGGAAACGAGTGGAGGTGCACAGGGACTTTCCGATCACCCTGAAGGTTATCCACACCGGCCGTATATATTTGTGTTAGGGTTCACTGAGGCTGAGCTGTGGCTGAGTGATTTACCTGTGGCTGCCGAATGCTTTAATGGAGGATATTGTTCAGGTAAATTACATTCGCTTTTTTTTTTAATGTTGGGTGGTAGTTATGTGTACCTCTCTCTCTCTCTCTCTCTCTCTCTCTCTCTCTTTCTCTTTCACCGACCTCGCCTCGAAAGACAGACAGACAGACAGACAGTGTGTGTGACCAGTTGACGGCCCTGACTGTATCATAATTATCACGGCGTCACTTTCTCTCTGTTATTGTAGTGTTTTATTGATGTTTTTCTTCTTCCCTTGTATATAATGGCGACAATTACCAGGACTCGGCTCAGGTGTAACTCAGGTAAATTCATCACACTTCGGCTTTAGTCCTCCTCCTGTTTTGGTTGACTCCTCCTCCTCCTCCCCCTCCTCCCCTCCTCCTTCCCCCTCCCCTCCCCCCCTCCTCCTCCCCTCCCCTCCTCCTCCCCCTCCCCCTCCCCCCTCCTCCTCCCCCTCCTCCCCCCTCCCCTCCCTCCCTCCTCCTCCCTCCTCCTCCCCTCCCCTCCCTCCTCCTCCCTCTCCACCTCCCCCTCCCCCCTCCCCTCCTCCTCTCTCTCCTCCCTCCCCTCCTCCCCCCTCTCCCCTCCTCCCTCCCCTCCCCCTCCTCCCTCCCCTCCCCCCCTCTCTCCCCTCCTCCCCCCCCTCCCCCCCCCTCCCCTCCCCAGACCCACCACTACCCCTCTCAGGTGACCTCTAAGCAGGCCATCATGTTCTTCAACCGGTTATACTCGTCTTCCCGGTCACTGCCACCAAGGTTACCCTACTGGCCCGGTTAGATTAGGTCAGGTCAGGTCAAGTTAAGTTAAGTTAGGTTAGATTAGATTAGGTTAGGTTAGGTCAGGTCAGGTTAGGTTAGGTTAGGTCAGGTCAGGTTAGGTCAGCTTAGTTTAGATTAAGTTTGGTCAGGTTAGGTTATGTTAGATTAGGTCAGGTCAGGTTAGGTCAGCTTAGGTTAGATTAAGTTAGGTCAGGTTAAGTTAGGTAAGGTAACTAAACTATTATACGTTCTATTTCCTTTATTTCAATATTAATTCTTTCATCTGTTTCAAGAATGACAGTCAATGAGAATTTTTTTTTAACATACACACATCACAGTATACTGCAAAGGGTAAGAGTTATATGCAGTCCTAACAACCGTTCATTAGTGAGCAGTGATGGCCGAGTGGTTAAGGCGTCTGACTAGAAATCAGATGGGATCTTCCCGCGTAGGTTCGAATCCTACTCACTGCGAGAATGTGTGACTTAACATCTTGAGTACGATGACTTAACCCCTTGAGTACTATTGACCTAATATCTTGAGTACGATGACTTAACCCCTTGAGTACTATTGACCTAACATCTTGAGTACGATGACTTTAACCCATTGAGTACTATTGACCTAACATCTTGAGTACGATGACTTGACCTAACATCTTGAGTACGATGACTTAACCTCTTAAATACTACTGTTAAACCCCTTGAGTACGGTTGACTTTACCCCCTGAGTACAATATTAACAAGGATTGACTCTACTTCTTGAGTACAATATGAACGTAGTCAGAATACGTCACCGTTCTCAAAAGGTTAAAGACATAGTACTCAACTGGACTCATGGTACTCAAGGGATTAAATATACTGATTAGTAATACTGAAGGGGGGGTTGTCACCTTATGGAGCTAGAAACCTGAAGTACACTGACGAAATCTACTCTGTTTACACTTGTAGATTTCGTCAGAGTTTATAATTTCGTCTCTCGGTTCCGGGTTTTGATTACCGCCTCCAAATTGTGATGGTAATTCTAGTGTGTGTGTGTCTCTGTCTGGTTTATGTAAATTCGTGTGCGTTTATGTGAATTCATGTGTGTATGTGAATTCGTGTACGTTTTTGCGAATTCGTGTACGTTTATGTGAAATCATGTGCGTTTATGTGAAATCATGTGCGTTTATGTAAATTCGTGTGTGTTTGTGAAATCGTGTACGTTTGTGAATGCGTGTACATTTATGAAATTTCGTGTACATTAGCTAAAACAACTATCTGTGCATACTTTGTGGGAAACATTATGAGACCATGGATGATAAATATTGGTATATGAGGGCTGTCACTAGTCACGCTTAACATTTCGGAGCATATCGACCCCCACCTGCACAGATAGTTGTCTTAGCTATTGTACATTAGGGTAAGAGAATAAACGCCTTGATAAAATAAATAATAAAAGCTTTATATAGAGTATTACAAGTGTTTTATAGGTAATATATAAACGACAATGAATTATATAAGATTGAAGCGGTGAAAATACGAGCCAGGTGAGAGCGGTGAGTTGATTAATTAAAGTCATGAAAGGTAAACACCTGAGTGAGCAAGCTGAACACACCTGCTGGATCGACCAAGAACACACCTGCTGGGTCAGTTAGCACACCTGGGCCAATTAACACCTGCTGGGTCAATTAACACACCTGCTGGGTCAATTA